ATATCTTTCCCTCTTTCCTTCAACTGGGTAACTTCAATTCACCTTCAAGATTCAGTGTATCCTGATGTCTCCTCCTCCTCTGTTAGGGTTACCTTTCTTTTGTGCTCCTATAATATTCTATGTATATTAGAGAAAGGGTCTCACTGAGTTGCTTTGGCATAATCAGGAGCCACTTGTCAAAAGAAACTAACTTTATTTTTAGAACCACACAGGCCAAACAAAACAGCTCCTCAGGAAAAACCCTCAGAGCCAAACTGCCACCACCAGCTTCCCACAAGCCTCTCTCACCACCACAAGCCTCTCCACCTCCCACAATCCTCCTGCTGGGTAGCGTGGGCGAAGCCAAAAAAGTCCCCCAATGAGCAGCTCCATGGTCTGAAAGGGCAGGGAAACAGCCCAATGAGCATCACCGTAGAGGAGCCAATCAGTTGGCAGCTAGAAGTTTGCTGGGGCCGCTGTGAGCCAATCATCAGCTGGCAGTCTGAAAGTTTGCTGGGGCCCCTTCGGCTGTGGCTCTCAACAATCCTGATGTCTTCTCCTCCTCCTCTGGTAGGGTTACCTTTCTTTTGTGCTCCTATAATATTCTATATATATTAGAGAAAGGGTCTCACTGAGTTGCTTAGCACCTCACTGCTGCTGAGGCTGGCTTTGAACTCTGGATCTTCCTGCCTCAGTCTCTAGAGCCACTGGGACAGAAATTTACAGTGTTTCATCTTGAAAATATATGCCCCCTATATAACTGTCATTTGTTTAAAAGAGATAGTTCAATTGAGACCCTAACCAAACACATAGTAGATGAAACTCTAGATAAAGCAGAATAAGTGTAAATTAAAAAGAAACATACACATAAGACTAATATAAGTTAGTAAGAATCCCCATTTGCTAGGAGAGAAAAAGTAATATAAGGAATGAGAATGAGAGGACTACAATTTAAGAAAACAGTATTCTACATGCAAAGAAGAATCCAATTGAATTTTTTTCTGCAAAACCAACCATAGTTGACCAATAAAAATGCAGTTCCAAACAACAGACTAATGGTTCTTAATGTCAACATAAGGCTTTTCAGTAAATTTTAAAATTAAGTGACTATTTTAGACTATTCTTCAATAAAGATCATGAAGCAAATAAGCCTTAGATTGCAGAATAAATTTCCAAACTATTTTAGAAATACCAGAATGTGAGCATTTTTATAAGATAATAATACAAAGGTTAATTTATCTACAACATTTCAAACTGAATTGACTTTTCATTTCTTTCAGATCCTATAGGAGTAAATGAGGAATATTCAATAAGAAACCCACTCCCTATTTAATTAGCCTTAGGAAAACCTTCAGCAGCAGCAACTAATACAGTCTGACATCAGTGGGTTCTCAATAAGTGGTGTTGGCTGATAAAAGTAAGAAAAAGACAGCAGACTAGAGGACAGACAGCTTACTACACCTCTAACCATGACAAACCATCTCACTGATACACAAAAGAAAATGTGGATGGACCAGCACAAAAACCACTCCTACTAAAAAATTAAAACAAACAAAAACAATCTCAAAACTCCAGGATTTTCTTTATATTTTATAGTAAAAAGTTACAGTCTTTGTTTTCTCTGAGGATTGATAAAGTTAGTATAGAAGAACAAAAAACCCCTGAATACTAGGAAATTTCCCTGAAGGCAGATGGGCGTGAGGTAGAAGGAAGAAGAAGGAAATTGGGAAATTATTCTGGATCCCTGTAGTGGGTCCAAGACTTTCCAGTTTAGGAGTGAATTTGAGATCAGAAAGATTGTTGGGTGTAGCACCAATCCAGGTCATCGATGAAGGGCAAAATAACTGCTGCAAGGAAGTCTACTTCCAGAATCAACTATTGTGGCTTTGAAGCAGCTGAGGAAGATCAGACTTCACAGGGCTGCACCTGGACCCACAGCCCTCATGACTATTCTGCTATGTATTTAAATCCCTGCTATGTATTTAAAAACTGACCATGGGAAGAAAATAGAATAAGGATAAAAAGGCTAAGGGTAGCTTTGTGGGTGTGGATGATGCTGAGGATTGTTCTTCAGCTAGTTCTGATGATGATGACAGTAATGAAAGCAATAATATAGTATAGTGCTCAGACTGGAACTGAGGTCAGGACCAGAGGTAGAGTCAGGCCAAACCTAGACAAATCAGGATGTCTAGAAACAGGCTTCCCCTAGTTCAGATGACATTATTTTGTCCCCTCAAGAATACAGAAAGTTGCTTTGGTTGAAATGTCTGAAAAGGCTCATATTCTTATAGAAGCATTACTTGCTCTAGATAATAATGCTGCTTATGTATTTAACAGATATTATTTGTGATCCAAGATTCTCCCAACTATTGCAAAGATTCTCAATATTCAGGATCTGTTGTTAAAGAATTTAACATTCTAAATAACAAGTGTGAATGCCAAAAATTAGTGCACGCTTAAGATACACAGGAATCAAGTGTGTTATGACACATCACTTCTCACTTGAAATCATCTGTACAGCTGGCTGGACTAAGATTGCTTATGAATAAGATTGTTAATAATAAGTAACCGTATATGCTTGATAATTCCATTTCAAACTTTTTTCATTTTTTTTTTCGGTCAGAAATGAAGAAACTAAATTTCAGCCTTTGGAAGTCTTTTTAAATTTGGCTGAAAATTCAGCAATGACTATAGAACTACTCAGGGGCCAATCTTCACTGGGTTCCCTCTTTAATGAGAAACAGAACAAAAATGTTATTCCAAAAGTTTGGTCATTTTTGAGAATGTAAATGATAATTTTAAATAAGAAGAAAATTAATCTACCAGAATCAATTCAGTGAAGGTTCACTTTTATTTTATTCTTAAAAGAATTTCAAGTGTGGACTGATAAGGTATTGGGAATAAAAAGGCACCATGGGCTGGGGATGTGGCTCAAGCGGTAGCGCGCTCGCCTGGCATGCGTGCGGCCCGGGTTCGATCCTCAGCACCACATACCAACAAAGATGTTGTGTACGCCGAGAACTAAAAAATAAATATTAAAAAAAATTCTCTCTCTCTCTCCTCTCTCACTCTGTCTTTAAAAAAAAAAAAAAGGCACCATGATTGCTTGGTGAAAGTAAAAGTCAGACAATTCACAATCAAACTGGGTATGTATATGTTCCCAAAGAGCTAGAAGTAACTTCTCGGTGTTGTACTTTAGAAACAACATATATTATAAATGATTCCTTTTCTCCACCTCGCTTATATGGTAAAGAAATTCTTTCAGTCACTGATTTTGAATAATGGACACCATATTGTATTATCAGTGCTGAATATTTAAACAAGTTGGTCTTTGGGTTTAAGCTGGATAAATGAACATCACTGAACACATGTTTGTTGTTTTTTAACTTCCTGCCTAGCTTGAACTATTTCTACCATTTTTTTCTGCATAAACGACAGTGAATCAATTTGTTATAAGTAAGCTCTCTTTTGTTGTTTGCATTGTTTTCATTTCTGTATCATCAATGAAGTTGTGTGTTAATGCTGAAAAGAAAAATAAGGGAAAAAATGAAATTTCTAACTCAAGGACTATGAAAAACAGACCATACCACAAAGGATTTGTATTTTAATGCAAATAGTATTTGATAGTTATGGATATATCTAGAAATTTTAAAGCAGGCAAAATTTTTGTTTAAGGTCTCCGTGACCTGGTCACTTTCTTTTTCAACCTTTTCCCCAAACTAAGGTTAAGTATCCCTAACCTGAAAATTTAAAATCCAAAATGCTCCAAAAAAAAAAAAAAAAAACTTTGAGTGGCAACATGACACCACAAGTGGAAAATTCTACACTATGAAACTTTGTTTCGTATGCAAAAAACATTACAAATATTGTCTAAAATTACCTTCAACTTGTATATAGATGCATACAGAAAATAAATGAATTTCACATTTAGTCTTGGGTCCGATTCTTAGGATATTTCATTATGTACACGCAAATTTTATAAAATAAAAAAAATCAGAAATCAGAACAATTCTGGTTCTAAGCAATTCAGGTGAGAGATATTCCCTATACTGCTAAAAGCCCTCCAAAACTACAAATCTAATCATATTACTTTCTCTGCTTAAAAACCCCTAATGGTTCCCGAATGGCTATGGGATAAAGTCTAAATTCTACATCACAACATAAAAGATACTCACAATCTGATCCCAACTTATCTTTCACATTTCTATTCTTGCACTTTTCATTATACAATGATTTACTACATAAAGTCCACAAATTCCTTGTTCTTTCAAAGCATTAGAGCCTTTCACATGTTGTTCTGTTTGAGTAAATATTATACCCCCTTTCTGCCTGTTAAAATCCCCCTTTAAAGCTCAGGTCAATTAATGTTTTCTTTGTGAAGTCTTTCAAAAGTCTGTATCAGAGAGTATTTGATTCAACCTATATGCTTGCACAGAATTTTCTATATGCCCTTAACTTATAACACTAATTTTTTTTTGGTACCAACTCAGGTGTGCTTAACTACTGAGCAACATCCCCAGCCCTTTTTTGTATTTTATTTAGAGACAAGATCTCACTGAGTTGCTTAGGACCTTGCTAAGTTGCTGAGACAGGCTTTGAACTCGCAATCCTCTTGCCTCAGCCTACCAAGCTGCTGGAATTACAGGCATGCACCCCCACCTCCAACCAACACTAGATGTTTTTGTGTCTGTTATATCAAATTAGAACTAGAAGGCAAGAAACAAGTTGTTATCCCTAGTTAAGAATACAAACATAGCTCATAATAGAAATTAAATGAATATTTGCTTAGACCACCAATTTTTTCAAATCATTTGCTATGATAATTCTTACAAGTATTAAATAGATAAAGATATTTTAAGATTATTTCACCCAAAATAGTTTAAAATATCTTTTGTTGCCTTGATGTGCTTATTAACTATTTTAACCAACCATCATTACATAAATGTGCAATTATTTTCATTTAAATTCATTGAAAATCCTGCAAAAAGATCCTTTTAGTCTTAATCTAAAAATATACTTACTTCTATATTTGGCAGAGTTATTGTCACCTGTTCACCTTTGCCAACTTCAAGGTCTCCTTCACAAGAAGTGTCAATAGAAGCAGGTTTGAAATCATCTAAAATTAGATACAAATATTGATTTTTTAAGATAGAGCAAAAATACCTTGATCTCAAAAATATGAGCATGTTCTAATGCGGTAATCAGTTTTCAAAAAACAGTAATTAAAATGGCTTAGAAAGTTATTACTATTACAAATAAGCAAATACACCTGAGTTTATTTCTGTATACTTAATTCTGAGGAAAAAAAAAGAAACAGCTATACTCTAAAAACAGTATTTATTAAACAATGATAGAAATATTTTTAGACTAAAATAAACTAGTCTAAGATTTTCTGCTGAAAGCTAAATAATTTCAGGACTGGAGTTGTGGCTCAGTGGTACAGCACTTGCCTAGCACATATGAGGCACTGGGTTATCGCCTCAGTATCACATAAAAACAAACAAACAAACAAACAAACAAAGGTATTGTGTCCATCTACAACTAAAAATAATCTTATGTTAAAAAGCTAAATAATTTCAGTGTTGCTTAAAAGATGATATAAGTAGAATATTTTTTAATTTTCAGTCTTTTTCCCTCATAAAATTTTCTTAAACTACCTTTGGTCCCTACTACTACTTGTACAGCAGAATAAAATGAATGAACACACAGCAAAGTATTCATGGGAAACTTCAAAAAGAAAAAGCAACCTTTTTAGTTTAGTACTTTAACTTTTTCATGGATAAGTACATCATTAAAGGATGTTGAAATTTAACCAAATCTTCCACTTCAGAAGAGTCTAAAATAAATTTTAAATGTGAATTAAATCATGGTTCAAATGATGCCATTAAAATCTATCACCTAGAAAAAATTTAGGATACTGAGCTATCACAAGCTAAACAAGTTTAAAACCTCTAAGATATGAAAGCTATAAAAAATTATACCAATATATATCAATAACTATAATAATTTTGATATATAATTTCTCAGGTTATAATGTGTTTATTTAACACTTTATTAAAATATAGCATACATACAAAATAGAAAATAAACAATAAACTTGGTGAGCTTTTACAAAATAACAAGTGTAAAACTACTAACCAGATTAAAAAAAAATAGAACATGGCAATGCAGCTCAGTGATACAGCACCAACAGAACATGACCAGCCCCTAGATTATCCTTATGTTAAACAGATTTATCTTTTAAACAGATTTATCTTTATGTTAACAATGTTACATAACAAAGTTTGATAGGTGAAAGTCTAAATTCAAATTAATGGATATCCATTACTATGGTGGGTAGATCTTGGGAAAGGAGAAATTTTAATGTTCATAAAATCAACACTGCTAATAAACAAAAGACTGGCCTTACTTTACAATGACAACTACAGTGGCTAACATTTTTAGAACACTTACTATGAGCCAGACATTATGCTTCATACTTCATATTTAACTTTTTAAATAGGAAGTGATTACTCTGAAAAAAAAAGAAATCCATCCCTCTAGCCCTTAAACAAACATAAATGTAAATGAATATAAAAATTCACACCATCTTTATAACAGATATTCTTCATACTGCTTTAATTCAAAACTGAATACATGCAAAATTATTTTTTAAAATCTCAATGTTTATCCCTATATTTTAAGAAACAGATATAAAAAAATAAGCAATATGAAAACTGTGAGGTTGGTTTATAATATCCCTAGAAGGTACAACTGAGAAATCAAAGGATAAAGATTAAACTGAAAATAAACTAAAGAGTTTGTTAGTAGTGGCAAGCTCAGTGAAAAAAATGAAAGCAGAATGAAGGTGTTAAGTTTTAGATGCTTGAATGAGGGTTTGGACAGAGAGAAATAGGTGTTAATGTCAACTAATGCGAAGACAGTGATTTGAAGAAAAATTAGAATGGAACTTGAGTATCAAAGAGATGAGAAAGTAGAAAGCAGATATCATAAAAACCTAAGAAAATGAACACCAATACAAAACAAAACAATGATAATAGCTATTATGTATGAAGCAATTTTAAAAGTTTTTCCTAATCACTTTGATCTTTCAGCTTTCCAACAATTCTGTAAAGCAGTGAATATCCCTATATAACAGATAAAGGAAATGGGAGGTGGAAGAAATGAAGTCCCTGCCCATGATGATGCAACTAATATTTACTAAAGGTAGAATATGGAAGCACAAAACTAGTTAAAATAAAAAGATGAGAGGTTAGCTAAGATATATCAACAGGTAGATAAGAAAACTTCAATTTTGAGCTAGCATATATTATTTGTGAATCTAAAGTAAGAATCAAAGTTCTTATATAAAGATATGTACAATGGAGATGCCACTCAAATCTCTCACTATTTATATGTATCTTTCCTTATTTATAAATATTATAATGCCCTATGTGAGCACCTATGGTAATGGGCTTTTTTTGGTCTTCAATTTTCTAAATTTAACTCCTTCAAGGTCTTCTCATCAATCTATATATTCCTCTACCTCCTTCATCACTCACATCTAGTCCTATATTTTCTGTCATAATTCTTTCAGAGTCATGCCCTTCCATTCTTGCTAAACACAAACTAATTTTCAGTTGACTAAAGGCTAAACTACTACAGCTTGTCCTGCTTTTCTCTGCACTTTAGTGCTATTAAAATTTGAATCCTATTTCAAAGTTCCTTCTTCCTTGAAGTCTTTTCCCTACTATTCAGAATCCCAAATTCCTTTCCTCTCCTGAAGCATTTACAATGCCATTCACCAAAATCTAACACAAACTACCTGGTATCATTTACTTCTTTGTGGACATGTCTATTGGATTGTAATTTTTTTTTAAAGAATAGAAATGTGGTTTTTGCACAGTATTTTTAACACAATGGCTATATGAAAGATCCTTGTAGTTGACTTGGGTTCATATTGCTCATGCCTCTCTAAAAGACATCCAAACTTATTTTAAGTAAATATAAGGTGCTAAATTATGTGTAAAATAGTTCTTTTCTCATTATTTCCTATGGACCATATTCATGTCTATTTCAAGATTTTATTGTTTAGTGTAGATTCCGCTTTATTCCTCTGTTCTTTTCACTAGTACACTTCTGTTCTCACAGAGTGCACACACTACCTTAATATGTGACAGAGAATTCTCTATGATAATAAATGTGTAAGATATTAGTAATGGCATCCTAGAGCAAAACCATAGCCCTCTGACTTTCAATCTTTTTCTGAAATGACATAAGGGAAAAACAAAGAGAGATGACTGTCATTTAACTACAGCTAAATGATGCTATAGAGAAGCCGGTCAGGTAACTTAAATGGTAAAGTAGACCTGTGGGAACCACAATGACCTAAAGAATGAATAAGCCCAATCTTAGAAGGTAATTACACTGTGCTCCAGCCAACTGCTGCCAAGAGGAGATATGGGCTTGATGATTGCCAGGTCACCTTCTGGTTTTTTTTGTTTTGTTTTTTAAGAAGGTAGAAATCTAGTTTAAAAAAAAAAAAAACAACTGCCAAAGTGGCTTTATTTGAAATGAATAGCAGATTAATGTTCAGTTATGCTGTAAAATCATTTTTAAAATATTTAAAAACAGAAGAGAAATGATCATTAACCTATCTAGATGGTAAAAATAAAAAGACATAATTAACAAGAATAATTAAATAGAAAGATTTTTAGTTTTTGCATCTTTGAGTTAAAATGTTATTGTTTTAATGAAACACTTGGAAAAATATTTATTTTACCATGATAAAAATCAGTACTCATTCCAAAATCAGCATATTTAGTGGTATTCATGTGTAAATATGGTCTCCAGGCTTTTAGACCACAAATTAACAATAAAGTGACATAAGAGGAATAATTTTAAATAATATTTCCTCTTTTATATTTTAATCCCTTTGCCAAACATCAATTAGGTCAAGGAGGAAATTAGGAACATAATAATATCCTATGGGGAAAAAACTGGAAATCTTGATTTTTATATAAAAGACCCTGATTTTTAGGCATTTGCAATTAATTCAAAACAAAACATATAGCTATGAGGGCCAAACAAAGTACAAAGTATCTGTTAATCTTAACCTGTGTTTTAGAGTTTTATTAAGAAGTTTTTTTTTCAATATATTATCACTTTTATTTTCACAATAAATCTTTGAATGGAATACTCTCACCACATTTTACCAATGGGAAACATCTTTAAATTAATGAAGCTAAGAAATGATCAAGTTAGGAACTCAAACCACATACTCATCCATTTATATGACATGACCTCTTTGTCTTATATCCACAGTTTTGTGCCTAGGGGGTGTTAGGGGATACAAGATAGTCATAAATCCCTATGAAAACTTGATAAAAATTATAAACCAATTACTGTTCCCTTCCATATAAAAATACATTTGAGAACATACCTATCAAAGACTGTTTAATTACAAGGAGTTCACAGCCTTCTGCAGCTTGTATAGAATGAGATAAACTGCAAAAGACAGAAATGTACTCAAAAGATCTTTACTTAACAATAAGCATGAATTTATTAATCAATAAGTCTACCACAACTATTCTGGACCAATTTATAATTCTAATTATTCTACAGTTATACAGTTAAAATATTCAACTTTTTAGTACTGCCTTTTCTTTGCCTTCAAACATGTTATTTTTTTAAGTAAACAACTTTTCAATTTCAAAGGGTTACATATATAGTTCTAGAATTAAAGAATTTGTTGAGCAATTTCATGTTCATGCTTTCCATATGCTCTAAATAGCAAATGTATTCTCTAAATTGACTAAATAACTTACTTTTTAGTTCTTACTTTGAGAATCCTATCATCAATTCTACCATTGATCTATTCTCTCTGGATTTCCTTCGTCTATGTTAGTATCTTCAGGTTTCAAATATAATTACTATAGTTATAAAGAACAGGAAAACATTTTCTACTTTGTCTTTAACACTTCTCTGTTTTTGCTGTAGCATCATATAATGTCAACATCTTCATAAAAGAACATACAATTACTATTGTCAGTTTATTTCTTACAATTTGAACTAATTCAACTAACTCCAAAACCCATACTCTGTCCCATATTCCATCCTAAGCAAAGAATCTTAACTGTAAATATAATTTTAATCAATTTTCATTAGTATAATTTCTGACATGTGCTCTAGAGCTTTACTGCTTTTTGAGGGGAAGGTCCACTTAAAGACAATTTTTCTATAGTCACTGCTCATCATCATTCCATTAGAGCAAAAAGTGATGCCACTGAAAACTTAAAAATTTTATAATTTATCAACCTTTATCTGAAAATAAATGTTAAAACTAGCACTATCCCAAATCCAAAATTAATTCTACTGAATTCCGTTATTCAAACTCTTTTACCAGTGAATCAACTACTGCTAATCATTTAGTTTACAATTTTAAAAACATACTATACCTCCTGACCACATGCCAGACTTTTTAATAGCTCTTATTTTCAAGGTCTGATAAATGTTTTTTAAAAGTTTATAGAAATTACATTCATTGGCACTCCCTATATATACATTACTATAACTCTTCAAAACTAATCATGATTACAATTCATTTTTTACCAGGCACCTAATACTGCTCTATGTTTATGCCATCTTACTTAATCCTTACAAAAATTATGAAATGTCACTATTATCATTTTACACATAAGAAAACTGGGGCTAAGAGTTTAGAAAATATCACCAAAGTCAAAGTGTGTGTGCACATATATGTGTGTGTGTGTGTGTCTATGTATATACATATACATATAAATATATATTTTTAAATAGAGAGGGAGGGAGAGAAAGTAGAGGATAGGATTCCCAATCAGGTTTGTCTAAAGCCTTAGTATATTAGACTATCCAAATTTCCCCTGAACATAAAAGACAGAATACTATTTTCTCTCAAATTACATTAGCTTAAGTGCTAGTTATAAATTGGATGCACTTATCCTATAAATGTGTGACATTCTCTATTCTATAGTTTCTATTCCCGCACTCTGAATTTTTAGGAGTGAAGATCACCTAGGGAAAAACCATACGCCTGCTTAAAAAGAAAGGGGAAAAAAGACTGAAAAAATTTTTAATGCCTTCTACATAACTGTGTGTTCAACATCTAGGTTTATTTATGGTTACTATTATTGTTGTTTGTCTATTTTTATCATCATTCTTGTACCAGGATTATCTAACTCTAACTTTGAAGATTTGATTCTGGGATATTAAGAACTTTTATAAGTGAAATGCTTTGACGCACTAGCAAGGAACTTGTCAAAGGCTACTTTTTTATTAATTTAATTTGGGGTTTATTCCCCTAGGAAGAGAATGTATACCCAAGTTATATAAAAATATATTCTAGAGCAATTTTATAATCTTAAACCTTATAACTTGAAAAATTAAAAAATAGTACTTTTTAATGAAAGTTTAAAATTACTGCATACTTGAGAAAGAAGAGAGGAGAAACTATGAGAAAAAGGACTGTAGAAAACAGATAAGAACCATATCTTGCTTTGGGAAATGAAACTGAAGAGAAAGAGAAACCACAGAGCCAGTACAGCACTGTCTCACTATGGGGAGATTTAGATGACAGAATATGGCCATAAACAAAAACAGCTCTGAAGATCTTCTCTTGTCATATATCTTCCCAATTGTTCTATAAAATGGATATTAATATTGCTTAAGAAACCCCTTTAATAAAATGTAAGCATATCTTTGAAGGGTTAAAACCATTGATTCTTCTTACATTTACTATGAACTAGTATAACTAGATTGTCTACAATCTAAGTAAACTTTTGGAGACTGAATTTTAATTAGGTGTTTAAATTGAACCATTGAACGTTCAGAATAAAATCCATAAAGTTTCTTTACAGCCAATCTGACAGAATGACTGAAAAAGGTGGAACGATGAAACAGTAGAGAAGGGCTGAGCTGGAGAAAGGAAGTGAAAAAATATCTGCTTTACTATTTTGCCATAGAAAAATAAGAGGTCATGATTCAATGATCTCAACGTTTCCTTCCTGCTCTAGAATTCTATGAGGGCTGTTATGCAAAAAATGAATATTTTATAGACAAAATCATATGCTGTACTTTTCCTTCCTGTCATGTCATCCAACTATTAAAACAAGTGGGTAAACCAAAGGGTAGAAATCATAGAAAGATAAAAATCTTCCCAATGAAGAAATTAATAACACACCTTCAAATACTTCGATAATCAGTATTTGATAACAATGAAATCTGGGTTCGGAAAGAGAGAGAATGAAATGGTTAAGAACTTTTCCCCACCAAAAAAAAAAAAAAAAAAAAAAAAAAAAAACCCAGTAAATAAAAACCCTCATCAGACAGAGGTGAGGAAAAGGAAGAAAGTCTGTCCCCATCAGCTTCAAGGCATTCCCTTGGCCCTGCCTTGGGTCCTTTGTACTGTTTGTCATATTATTTTCCTTTCCATTTCTGCATCATACTCTTGTCATGTTAGCCTCCACAGTCACCCCTGCAGATCTCCACAAAGTGTCCCTTCCAGTCGGCTGGTCACACTTAAATGCGCCCAAGGTGTCACACCTAGGGCTTCTAACAGGGTAGTGGATTACCCTGTACCCGCTCCACTCCCACCTCAAGAGGAGTGCAGAGGCGGGGAGGTTACGGGAACAGAACTCAGGGGTTTACGCCTTCACAAGCCCAGCCAAGAAGGAGGCGCCCCTTCTATCCCCCGGGCAGTCCCCACTCACAGCGTATAGTGTGGAAGGCGCAGCGTGGGTGCTTCTCGAAACTCTCGCCTAACTTGAGAACTCGCTCGTGACGGTCAATGCGCGAGAGTCCCGCTGGTCCATTCATCCTTTCCCACTGGCTCCGACTTCGCCTCCACAACCATCTGCCACCTCAGCCCAAAGCCCCAACACTAGCATCCGGCCCCTAGCGCCACCACCCCAGACTCCGCCCCGCGCCCTTACGTGCACGTCTCTCCGGCCGCCCCTGGAGCTCTGATTGGCTGCCTAGTGACGGACGCCCCGCCCCTTGGCGCTTCTCTTCCCCCTCCCAGATCCCTTCCCGCGTAGCGACGCACGCCGCTTGGCAAGGGCCACCTCAGTGTGGTACGTGGGGGAACTAGGATCCCTTGGTGCAGGAACGCGAAACCGGGATGAGGTAACTGACCTGAGGTGGTGGCTGGGGACCGAGAGGGCCCTGGGATACCGGGATGTCCGGATGCCGGGCTTATGGACCCAGTGAACCTGCATGTAGGGCCTCTTAACGGGGGAATCGGCCAACCACGCCTTCTGTGAAGATCTTGGTGTGGAAACTGAGGCCGAGGAGGGCGGTGTCTGGGTACTAGGCCTGGCGACTGGCCAAAGGACTGGTAGCGCCAAAGCTGAGTCTAGAATCTCCGGGAAAGGAGCCTCGGAGCTTGTGCGTGACTGGAAGCGACGCCGTTACCTCGGCAATCTTTTTGACCTTTTAATTACCGAGGACGTTCCTGGTGGTATTAAGACTGGAGGAAGGACGTGTAGGAAGGAAAACGAGGATCAGTTGTAACTGGATTGCAGTGGATTTCTTTCTTTCATTTATTTCCATCACAGTGGTTCATGGAGGCAGTAAAAGAGCACGACTAGGGAGAGGTGATTCCCAAAGGATCAAGACTGAAGCTCGAACTGGTGTTCTGGTAACTGGGTAACAGTATTAATAATTGATCAATAATCGGCATTCTTTTTCTCCGTCAGTGTTCATGAATTTATTGTAAAGATGAGAAAAACATGCACAAACGTTTACAAATGATTGGTGTAACAAGTGGTTGATTTTCAGGACAGTTGTGTAATCCAACTATGCTCCCTTACTTCTTTCTTAGGCATATTTGTCAATTTATTGTTCTATATGGGTAAGTGAATGTATCTCCCTCGGTTTGTGAACTAAGACTGTTTCATATGGTAGGTAAGTGCTCAGGTTTTAGAGCCAGGATCTCTGGGTTTGAATTCCAGCTTCATACTTAAAAGCGTGAGTTTGTGCAAACCAAACTGTCCCAAAATATGCTTAAGGGTAAGAGATGTGGCTCAGTGACACAGTGCTTGCCAAGCACGTGCAAGGCGCTGGGTACCAGTGGCAGCATTGCAAAAGAAAAAAAAGTTATAAGTATACTTATCATTAAAATTAGGGGAAAAGAATACTGTTTTTTTGTGACCCTTGACATGATTAAATGAAAGCAATTGAACACTTCATAGCACATAGTAAGCTCTTCAAATGATTATTATTAAGCTCAGTTGTACTGTCATATTTTTCGTTGCCTTCTTTTTTAAATTTTGGATTATTCTAGGAGGTAGGAATTGCTGTTAATTTTACTTTCAGATAAGAAAACTGGTTAAGAGAAGCTTACTTCTTTAATTATTGTCTGAATTCTTATCTATATCATCTATTTAGCATTTCACATATTTTGTATGCTTAAGAAGTTTTACGTACGTATATTTTTATGTATGTACACATAACACTTTTCTTTCCCAACCAGAATATTAGCAAGGAGTCTGCCCCATATGTGACATCATAAAAACTATGAATAGAAAATATATAAAAGAAAAAACTGACTAGTGAACATGAAATATGGCAGAGTCCCTCTAAAACTCATAGAAATGCAGTTTCAAACAAGACTATACTTTTTAATAGAAATCTAACAGATTGGCAAAAGTGTAAAAGATAATAGTAAAATATGTATTCTTACGATTCAGTCATCACCATCATAGGGAATTTGTCCTATGGGAATACTAGCATGATTTCATAAAGACTCACACATTGATATTCATTGCTTTGTTGCTTCTAATAATATACAGCCTAAATGACATCCAGTTAGCGCACTTAAATGTTTTTTGATGCACTCTTATAAAGGAAGGATAGCATAATGCATATTCTTTAAAAAATATTTGCAAAAGGCGCATATCCATATATGAAAAGCTTCTATTGAAGAATAAGACAAGCCAATAAAAAATGGTTAAGGGATATGAATAGAAAATGTATAAAAGAAAAAAATGACCAGTGAAATAAAATATGCCTGACCTCCCTAATATTCAAAGAAATGCAAATTAAAAGAGTATACCATTTGGATATGAAATTCAGTAAAATATTTTAATGATTTATATTTTTCCTAACGAGGGATGATTTTGATGCCTATATTATGGTCAACTTTTTGAAATAAAGGATAGACTGTAGTGCCAGTTCTGAATACTAGCTAAAAAAGTGAGCTAGAAGTAGGTTATTCAGGAATATATTTTGTGATTTTTACTCTTTTACAAGGGAGAGAATACAATGAACATTGTAATTAAAACCAAAGGTTTTGCAGTCAGACTAATCTGATATGTCTAATGCCACTATATATTGATGAAACCATGATAAGTTTTTCAACTTTCAAGTTTTACTTTCTTATTTATAAAATGGAAATGATTACAAGGTCTATCTCAGAGTCCCATTGTGAAAATTAAATAAGATAATTCATTTAAAAGTACTTAGCAGAGTGCTTATCTCATAGTAAATACTTAAATATGTTAATTTTTATTAAAAGTAAGGGAAAGCTAGGTATGGTGCTGCATGCCTGTATCTCAGCAATACAGAGATGTGAAGCTGAGGCAGGAGGATTGCAATTTCAAGGCCAACCTCAGCAATTTAACAAGGTCCTAAGCAATTTAATTATACCCATCTCAATATTACAAAATAAAAGGTGTTAAAGTGCCCCTGGGTTTAATCCCCAATACATGAAAAAAAAAGAGAGATACTTTTTATTAAATGATGACTTATGTTGAACTTCAAATACTTAAAAAGTTTTATATAAACAAATTTTAGTAACAATTTGAGATGTGAACTTCTAAAATTTTTAGGAGAATTGATTTTATTCACTATACTCTAGAAATAAGTTTTGGTTTTCTTATAATTACACATTTCTGAATCTTAGTGTGATGTTTAACTCATGTCATGTTAAACATCTGTGGTGTGACACAGCCACAGTGATGGGATGGAGGAAATCACCACAGCCAAGCCGATATGTAGCATGCCCTGGGACTTCCAGAATTGTGAGCTAAATAAACCTCTTTTTTTTTATTAAGTATTGGAAAATGAAGTCATGTAGATACCTTTCTGCTAGCATATATCAGAATTCCAGAACTCCAAAGAAATCAGGTGTTCAGCATAAACAACATTGTTTTTAGGAACAGTGAACTACTCTTTTCACAGAATAGTAGAAACCCTTCTAATACCCACATTCAAGATGCCAGCCAAGGAATGACCTTGTAAGCAGACCTTTAAAACAGTAGCCTTATTAAGTCTGCAATATGAATTTTTACCGCAACACTCAGTTTTTCATGTGTAAATTCTACTCTAGAATTGTACATATCGGAGAGAGGGAATGTAAAGCTCCTAGCACAGTGAGAATGCAATACCAATACCTATTATAAATGTTACATGTAAGGTATAAGGATGTAGAACTCTTTTATATGTACATTAATTAGAAAAACTAATTTCCTATAAAGGAAGAAATGAAAAAAACCCTGTATTTCTAAAACAAGGCAAGAAAAACTTTTTATTCATATTGATCTTAAATTTCATACATTATTTAGGCAATGAATATTTTATGGCTTTTTGACCTTTATTTTCTGATTCTGTTAAAATACAGGTGATATGTGAAATGAAGCCAACAGGTACAGACCCAAGGATCTTATCTCTAGCTGCTGAGGTTGCAAAAAGTCCTGAACAGAATGTCCCTGTTATATTGTTGAAGTTAAAAGGTAAGAAAAAGACTTTATGATTTTTAAATAAAATCAATTCTATCATTGGTTCAGTTTTGAATTGTGCAGAGAAACCTTAACACTATGATATGGCAATGATTTTTTTCCTTTATATTTTTAGTATTGTTCAACATATAAAAATATAAGTAGCCTTTGGATGTACTGAGCAAAAATAAGTATATCTTATTTTCTTTTTCCTTAGAAATAATAAACAACACACCTTTAGGAAGCTCAGAATTGAAGAAAATCAAACAAGATATATACTGTTATGACCTCATTCAATATTGCCTTCTGGTCCTCGGTCAGGATTGTTCTCGAATCCAGGGTGGGTGGACTACAATTTCCCAGCTTACACAGATATTAAGGTAAAATGAATCAATAAGTCAGCTTGTTCTTAAGGAATTTAGTATTTTTATTGTGATTTACAACATTTACTTCTATTTTATTTATTTTCCTTATAGGAATTGGAATATCCTGTGATAGGTTTTTAATTATACTTTTAGACTATTATTTACTTACTCTATTTGGAATTTTCTAAAACTTCCCTGCTAAACTTCAATAAATGATGATCATTTATTATGCTTATTCCTAAATCACAAGTGGCTGATCTGCTCTTTACTGACTCAGGAATATTTGAAGAAATGAAGAAATTAAGAACCTACATCTGTACTTGAGAAACTTAAAATAGAGATTGGGTGGCAGTCATGTAAATGTATGTCACAAGTAGAATGAAATTGGTGCTAAAATGAAAGTGCTTGAGCAGAGTAGTATAGGAGAACAGATATAAAAACTATTCATTTCACTTTGTATTTATTTTGGAGCCTAACTTTCTAAACTGCTTACTTTATTAGATAAAGTATTTATTTAGATAAAGGCCAAATTCAAACTATACAGTTGAAAATTTTAATAAATGTATACAATACTCTCTTATTCTTTAGTTTTTGAGTTTAATGATTTTCTTAAGTAATCTTTAATTACTTTATGTTTTGATAAAATATGCTAGCTCATGACAGTACTGACTGAGCATAATTATATTTACTAATGCTCTCTATTAAAAGTGTATACTCTTAAGTAATTAAACTAAAGGGAAAATAAAAACTGTTGCAGTATATGAACATTTGCCAGTTTGGTGTATAGTGGGCTCAATATGTAGTTTTTATTGCTTGTTATT